AAAAACACACGTGCTCCTGCCGGCCGGCTTTCAAAAAGAACTCAAGATATTACTCATCTTCATTGAGACGTTTTGGTTTGGCCCAGCGGCAGTAGATAGGAGAGACTTCCCACCGTAAATAGTGCACAGGCGGTTGCGATCACGACGCTCTCAGGAAGCTCGATTATAATCCGCTTAGCAAAAACATGGATGATGCACCGCGAGGCTGGCCAGGTCACCTTGTGCAGAAATCTTTTGTCAAAGCGGCGGACAGTAGTTGTCTTCCTCAACAGAGAGTGGAGACTTCTCAAACAAACACTTTGTTGTTTTGGCAGAGGATGTCGTAAACTTCTCTTACCTGTACGGGCATGAGCAAATGCAAATGCTGAAGTACAAAATGCGTCACCGATTGCCCTCGACAAGCAACTAATGCTAGTCGACCCGAAGTGAATGCAATGTGTATTTGAACGAAGACTTGCAATCACATGTGCGGATGTGTGTACCTTCACATGGTGGGGCTGAAAACGCTGTTTCTATAAAGAAACAGTAGGCAAAACACACAACGCTCGCCCCTAGGGCAAATGGCCAATAGGCTAAACGACAATAAACAACACGGACCATGACAGCACGTGGTGAGGTGCGGCCAGTAAACGCCCAAACATTCAACGTGGAGTACCGCACCCCAAGAGCTCAACTCAAGCCCAGAAAAGCCAAAATCCGGGAATCACTTGAGGGGAAATCTCTTGGGATTGTGGTACCACGCGCCCTCTTAGAGGATGGGAGCTAGTTGCAGAGGACCAATGGTCCCGGCAATCCGAATCTAATTCGGATAGATAAGAAATTGCTCCCTATCGACTGGCAATCGGTAGTTGCCACTATTGTGGGTAAAGAGTCGTGGCCGTGGTCATAGCAGCCACCCAAAGTTCTTTGCCTCGAGCTCCGGGAGTAAGGCCCGACACCTTTGTGTGAAAAACACAATTTGAACGCTAATCTCGAACGCTAAAACATCTGATTTGAGCCTGGATCTCGGAAATTGATTTGAATGAGTGGCATGACTGGCACGAATATTGAAAACTGCTTGGGGAGTCGCCTTGTCGGCTAGGCGAGACCCAGCCCCTGACCCAAGTTAGAAAATTAATTGAAAGAGCAAAGATCAATATCAGCGAGTCATAAAAGCCTTCCATGGAAAGCGAAATCCGAGACTCGGGCAAAATCAGAACACAACCTTTCGAATGACGGATATCCACCAGCGTGAGCGGGGATGACCGAAACGCAATGGGGAGACATGCCCCGGCACATCGAAGCGATGGACCTGTGAGTCGTGGGAGAAATCCCTTAATACAGGAACGCAGGGTGGGATGTATTTTGAACGCGAGCCCAGGAGGGGAGGCTTAGTTGGTTGATTGTCTTAGGAATCTTCCTCTGGCTGTCCTGGCTGAGTCTCTCTTCTGATATCCCAATTTGGGTTGGCCTCTGCGGGGTAGTGGTACCAGGTCAAGCAAATCTCGTAAGATTTGTACGCTGCGTGCTTCCAACGCAGTAGACGTTGGGGCAACTAGAGTCCCGTCGCGCCCAAACCGAGGGTCAAGCCTTTAGTTCCGCTCTCCTTGAGCGTCGAACCGTGAAAAGATCGGTACTCCTTTCGAGGAGGTCGCCGCCTTAGATTAAAAAGGTTCCGACTCGCTGAGTGCGTCAGGGATATCGCAGCAGACTTGACTTCTGGATCTCCAATAATGTTTGAAAGCGAAGGAGTGAAAGACAGTGGGCTATGCCAACCTATTGGCGCCCAGAGAGAGGGGTGGTAATGTTTGATTACGCCGCGCCACCCTCAAAGCGGAAAAGTGTGAACGACACACATACACTAACTGTAAATAGTGCACAGTGTTGCAAGTTAGTGTGTGGGACTATTCCGGTGCAAGCTAGCCGATCGTCCCCCTGTATTCAAGCATTTGATAAAGCTCATCCGTGGCCTCGTGCGCATTTGTAAGTACCTACATGTGTACCTTGTCTCTCTCTCGCTAGCCAGTTATTCTCTCTCTCTTTATCGCCGTGCTGCTTTCTATGTAAACCTACGAGCTGTATAAATGTCATTTATTTTATGCAACCTATTTTCTTATTTACACCTGACTCTACCACTTTCCACGCTTTTCCCGTCGGTGAATTAACTTGAAGACTAGCTACTGAACCCACGACGCTCCCGCGGGCCTTAAGGCGTAACTAAGTATCCGGGCATAGTCTCGTGCGTTTGTCGTACGCCCGCATCGAGCTGTATAAAATATTTATTGATCTCTCGCGAAATAACGCGGGCAAATATCTACCCCGTTATAATTGTAAATAAAACTCTTTTTTTCCTGGTAAAAATTAAATTTTTTTTTTACATTTGAATATTTTACGTTGAATTCGTATTCGTTGAGTAAAAACGCATAATTTTTGCTCTTATGATTTTTTTAGTTTGACTCATAGTTTTTGAGTTATGAGCTGTTGAAAAAATGTGATTTTTTTTACATAAAATTAAACAATTTCCTAAAAAATAAATGAACCGAAATTCTGCATAGCACATTTTAAAGAGGAGTACCATAGCTTACCCTCCATTTTGTTTTTTTTTAATCCGATTATTTTTAACAAAGTTATGCCAATTTGAAAATGGACGAAAAAAATTGAAAATTTTTTTTTTTTCATTTGTTTATAAAAAATTAATTAAACATTATTTTTTCAAATATTTTTATCATATATTGAAGGGCTTGGTACAACCTTCAAAACGTACTTTGAATTTTTTAGATCGGTTGATTCCTTATAGAGGTACAAAACTTCATAGTTTGACAGATTTTTGATGGGTGGCCAAATTTATGTGAGCGACAGTGTACATTATATTCAGATAACTATATTTTCCTTTTCTTAATACTTCCATATACATAGGTATCGGTTAAGCCTTCATTGCTATGGTCAGAAAAACCGTTAGAATACGCCATAGTATCGTACGTAATTTTTGCAGCGGTGTTTTTATCAGTAGGTTGCTAAAACTTTTTACGAGATTTTTCAAAAACTTTGTACGAAAAGGTCAGATTCCTGCGCCTATCGCAGTCGATAGGTGCCTGCGATTTTTCGACGTTTTCAGACTTGAATTCCCGACGACTGCTATAATCCAAGAAAAGAAGTCTGGCGTGCGTTAAAAAACTCGAGGAGACAAGTTACTCGAAGTAAGCCGTGACGCGAAATTTCCCTGGCCAATTGACTCCTCAAAATTCCTCTGTCACAGAATATAAATGAAAATTAATAAAAATGTTGATCTTCAATATAAATTAAATATTTTTAAAGATTTAAAAGAAACTCGAAAATGAATTGAAAATTTTTGTATAAAACTTATTGCTGTACCATGCTGCCACGCATTCCACTTACTTAATTCGACTGGCCGACTGAATATACCTATACAGTGAGACGGTTTAGATGCCCCAGAGAATTTTAACCCGCTCCACGTTACATTATACCGAATGACGCTAGCCACTTGATAGAAGGGTTGTCCCTGATAGTGGTTTGATTTATATATGTCACATACCTACACTGAAGCCGGAGCCAGGGACACGTGAGTATATATAGTGTGTGTAGTCTAGGAAATTGTCTTAATTCGACTGGCCGACTGAATATACCTATACAGTGAGACGGTTTAGATGTCCCAGAGAATTTTAACCCGCTCCACGTTACATTATACTGAATGACGCTAGCCACTTGATAGAAGGGTTGTCCCTGATAGTGGTTTGATTTATATATGTCACATACCTACACTGAAGCCGGAGCCAGGGACACGTGAGTATATATAGTGTGTGTAGTCTAGGAAATTGTCCTGGACAATCCCTCATGCTCAGATGAGAATCTAACGTTATTAATTTAAACACGTCGAGAACAGCTTTCACCGCGTTATATTTACTCCTTGGGTGTGTTTGTATTAAACCTTCATTAGTGTGATGAAGTTTTTCTGGCTCTACCCCCGGGCTATGTAACCAGGAAGCATTCACGTGTGATTTTCACGTGTCTCAGTTGAGATTATACTTCGCGAGCCGGACTTAGCGCTTATAAAATCAACATTTCTGTCTACAAGTTTATCGACAAAAGAAGTCTCAGTTCATCCAGCCTTCGAATCTACCTACGACGGAAGAAATATTTTTCTTCATTCTTCGTCCATCTGCGCTTATACGAGTATAGCATTTATCAAAGAAGTAAGATGTGTCAGTAGAATCTCTCTCATCTTTCGCATGGTGCATTCAGCTTTCTCAGCGAAAGAAAACTACGTCTATTTAATTCATCCCTTTCCCTACACTAGTATGTAGCCAGAGTTTAACATCTACTTGTGTGTTGTTGTGTTGTTCAAATTCATTAATAAATAAAGAAGTCTGATGTCACATTAAGCGTTACAATAACTTTCCTTCTGAGAAAACGTGAACTTATGAATTTCATCCTTCTTTCTTGATAGGAGATAACTCTTCGTTGTATAACGAAGCTATTAGTTTATCTCCCCTGGTAATGTTGGTTATAGTTTAGTCATGTTTCGTTCGATCAGTTAGTAATTCAATTACTTATAAGTAAAATTAAACAAGTTATTTGAATGATATTGAAAATATTCTCATATGATAAAATGACTAAAATTATTCTTGCAGCATTAGTAGTAGAGCGAAATGATAGAATATTTTCTATTTAAAATTACTTTATATTCTGTAGAATAGAAATACGACTCAACAATTCAAGATTCGCCTCATTGTCTTTGCTCATTAAAAACGTAAAAATTCCATTTAAGTTCCTAAGATAACAATCTCGAAGTATATAAAATCTAATACCATATTACATATTGATATTCAATAAATATAAACTAATCAAAATCATTTGATATGAATAATATAAAACCGAAATTGATACCTTGTAAAATATAGATAACATTAAATAAAAATAAAGATTTTATTTAACTTTCTATTATATTATCGATATAATGATTTGGACTAATCAGGTTATTAAAAACTTTAATATCAACTCACTTTCGACAATGTTGTCGGGTGTGGGTACAAGTTCACAAGACAGCCTTCTCTCTTTAGTCTAAAGTCCCATCTTGTTTCTAGATGTGGAATTTCCATTGTATCACATATACTTTGGATATGAGATGCTGTATGTGCATTTTGAGGTCCAAAAATCGCGGCTATTCCAGTTTTTAGTAAGTGACATACTGAAATAATCATAAGCAATCAATTAAAATGCTATTAATTTTGATAGTTCTTTTAATAATGTTAAATAATGATATGCACTTAGTATAAGGTATTTAAGATACTTTCTTTTTCTGATAGTCGAAGTCAATTTGATAATGTATACGTTATGTTATTCTAATTGAATTAATAAAACGATTATTCCTGTCAAAATAGATTACGTATATCGGGTATTTTAAATCATCCGTGCACCCTTTTTTAAAATAAAAATACATAATTATGCAAATGAAGTTATTAGTCTCTAAGCAGCACATATTATGGTAACCTCTATAATCAATTCAAAGATTATTTTAAGATCAATCTTGTTTTTTCAAATACAAATCCCTATTATTTATTCTGAGTTCGGGATTATTCGCATGATATTAAGAAAATATTAAGAAAAAATAATAATACATCTGAACTCGTCTACGTTATCTCATCTGAACGTAGAATTCTTCACTCTTTCCGTATCGGAGACAAAAATAGGGGTATTTATTTGAAAAAACCAAGGTTGACCTCAATATGACCTTAAATATGACCATAAAGGTACCATACAGAAAAAATCACCATAACATTTGTCTTTCAAAGAACCATAACTTTCATTTAATTCATTTTTTGCATAATCTAGTATTTTCAAATTTAAAAAGGGTACACTGATGGTCTGAAACTCCTGCTATAATTGAAATAACTATTAAAAATAAATTAAAATAAGATTCTTGAGATATATTTTCATAAAATCACATTAACGTAATACGATCAATGTAATCTCACTTGATAATAATTGGTTGAGTGGTTTTTATATTCCAGCCATCACGCAGAATGGGAATTCTTTTCCTCTCACAATGTGACTTGAAATCCGGAATTTCTCGCTTTGCAAAAGAGACGCAAAACCGACATGAGTATCAGCATTGACGGGGATTTGCCGAAAAAGTTTAATAAGACCTGCCTACCGAGTCGGAATATTTCAAGTCAGTGACTACGTCAGCTGTTGCATTCGAGATACAGATTGTCTTTTGTGCACCTTCTTAATTGGTATTCAAATTCCCCTACCGTAAGCAACAAGAATCTTATCGTGCGACAAAATGCAAATTTGCACACCGAAGAGATTGGATCATATAATGTAGAGAAATGTTTTCTCTTCTGTTTTAAGCAGAATGTGAAACTTGCATGTGTGGCGGAAAACTTCGTGGGTTCTTAGACGCGCACTCGAAATACTTCCACGACAAGGCCTGATTGGACTGTTTTCCCCCGACTAATAATAAGGGCGCCAGACCGCCATTCCTGATTTACAGCTATCGTCGGGGATAGGGTCGGAAAATCGCGACGTAGGTCTATTTGTTCACTGTGCGACTGCGCAGAGTAGGCAGGTTGATGTCTTCACGGCGATCTCCTCTTCCTTAAGCCGATGGTACCAACCAATTGTCTACATTCTTCGCCCTGTCGCGTCCTGGAAGTGCCGGTAGCTCAGGATACGGTTGGAGATTCGTTCGCTTTTGCGCGTAGGTCACCTAATGCTCAGAACCAGTATTGCAAACGAAACAATACTCTCTATCAACCATCCACGGCTGAAAATAAAATCAGCATGCAGGGAAGAAAGGGTCAAACGAATGCTTCTTTACGTGTTTGGCTGAGCTACAATTTTTTTCCAAAAGTAAATGGACGCGTCGAGAAATCGAACCAGCGTTCTTTGTGTCCACAAGTTGGCTTGGAAGCGCACAGAGATGGGAAGCACGTGCTCTCTCTCTCTCTGTCTCTCTCGTTCTGAATCGGCGTAGATTGGTAACGCGCGGTGGTGGGAAGCACATGCTCTTTCTGTTTAGCTCTCTTGCTCTATATGTATATATAATGTATATCTTGTAGAGGAGATGCGATTTCTTGGGCGCACGGTGTCTGTAAAGCACTACTGAGTATGTGTATAATATATACTAGCTATATATTTAGTATAGGGCCTAAGCGCGTGCTAGCTCTCTCTCTCTCTCTCTCTCTCTCTCTCTCTCTTTCATTCTCTCTTTCAATCTGATTCAACGTGGCTTCGTGGTGCACATATATGTTTCAGGATAGATTTGTCCTAAGAAACTAGGCCCTATACTTAAGCTTAATTTGGAAATGGCAGGGAATACGGTTGCCCATTCTGTTACCAATGCTTTTAAGAGAGTATTCTGATTTATATCTAAAAACAGATGTACTACTCTTAGCTGATATCAAGAATTTTCAGAAAACTGGTATGGATGTGTATCATCTTGACCCAGTGTACTATTATACAACACCGGGATTATCATAGGATGCTATGTTAAAGTGTCTAAATATTGAATTACAATCCTTATATGATATTAATATAGTTTTATTATTTCAAATAGGTATTCGGGAAAGTATGAGCGAATGCTATAATCGATAGAAAGCTAATAATCGTTACATGTGCATAGAATATAATAAGGAAATACAGAGTAAGATTTTGATATATTTTGATGTCAATAACATTTACGGATGGGCCATGACACAAGCACTACCATATAGAAAGTTCCATTGGGTCCCTGACGTTAAAGAGTTAGATTTTTATCATATTTTTAATGATAATGAGATTGGTTATATTTTAGAAGTAGATTCGTCACGATGTCGCCGTCGAGCGGTGCGGACGTGCAACCGCCTAACGCATCATCGCTACATAAGCATTTCAAGTGTCATCCAAATACAAAAGTAGGAGCAGTTGTGTGTTTAGTATGTGGAAATTTCTATCATACGAGTGAAATAGTAGCAAAAATCAATGCAGGAAATGCAATCAAACTAATAAACAGCTCATTCATAATATGCCAGGAGCATCCAAATTTGCACTAACATCAAACTTGCCATATGGGGACTTAAGTGAACAAGCTAGTGCTTTCATAACACAATTTAAACTTGTAAGTAGAGAACAAATAAAACAGGAAATATTAAATGAGCTTGTAACGTCGGGTCGTTTATTAGCAATAAATTATTTTTTTTTCCTCATGTACTTTTGCGTAGCTTAAATTTTAACTCGGTAAACTAGCAAAGGAGAGCCTTCAGCTGAAGCAGCTGGAGGACACGTGAAAATAGCCGTCCCTTTATCGCGCGCTTTCCGAAGTTTACCTCGAACGATCGTAAAGTTTTTTTTGAGTAGGCTTAGATATAGAGTAAAGGAGCCGCGGAATTCCGCCTGCATCCTGTTATTCGATTTCACCCAAAAGATTTCCACTTTTAGAAGCCAAAACTTTTGCTATATAAAAAAAACCTTAATAATTAATTTTACATAAATGAATCGGTAGAATAACAGCATGATAGGAAAATTTCGCGGCTTCTTGAAACCTCCCACACACTTTTTGATTAGAAACATAGTTGCCGCGCAATCATTGAAAATAACTCAAAGTTTTAAAATTACAAATTAGAAAAATGAGGTAAATAGTCGAAAACAGTTACTTGAATGAATTTTAGCAAATCGGTTATACAGTCCACAATTAAATAATACCCCTTTTTTTTCGTTCCAATTTATTTAAACAACGAAGTGAGTTAATTAATTAAGTTACTAATTGTAAACATGTAGGATCCAAAGATTTTTGCGTAAAATATGTTAAATAATAAGGAACTTACGTTATTTTTAAGAATTAATTATAATAATTTTATGTAATAAATAAATTAATAATTATAAGAGAAACTGTAATAAAAATGGTACTTGGAGAGTCATCTAGCGAGATAAGGCCCAAACTTTTGAACGCGCGCCCCCAATTCTCACCACGCCCCTGAACCAATTAGGGCCCGAAATCCGAAGGAGAAAAGGAGGGAAAATCTCAGTCAGCCAATTAGAATTCATTGGCATTTCCACTCTTCCCAAATTTTGAGGGACTGAAAGAGGGATTTTCCTCCCAACCACCCCCAGGGTTTAAAAGGGCGTGCGCAAGCGAAAATCGCTCTCTCACGCTCCTCGCAAAGTTCTAAGTGCATCTCGTCCGACCAAGTGCCAGGTCCAGATTGACTTCTCCCAGTACTAGTATATTAAATAAAAGAAAAGTAAGTTGAAACAAAATTTTTTATCTCTATCTCTCCTTTTCCTCTTCTTGTTAGAGTAGCCGATCGAAACTCGTGAGAAATAGGTCTTCGAAAAAATATTTCAGCAGGAATTGGGATACTTTTTCAATAAGACAGTCGCGCCGTTAAATAAAAATTAAAATACTTTTTATGTGATAATTCCGGCAAGGTTTGGGATTTTCACATCCAAGTCCCGATTCCATTGGACCCTGGTGTTTGATGGAAGGCTTGTAGTCCAGTTTATTTTTCACTCTTTTTACGCGAAACGCGAAGTAGAAAAGCTCTAATTCTCCAATCGCTCGTCCCGGTTTAAGCGTACGCACGCAAACCAAATAGAGCGCCTGAGATTACGTCTGCCTCAGACGTACCTGAGATAGTGACCCGGACGTCACAAGCTTGTGAATGAAAAGCAAATTTTAAATGAAAAAGATAATCATATGGATGTAACACAGATCAATGATCTGGATGAATTACAACAATTAAAAGCCGAAAATAACCTATTGAAAGAACTGTACAAAGAAACAAAAGAAAAAAATGAATTGCTCAATGAACTACTAATTAAAGAAAAACAAAATAATAATGCAAATACTAACATTATAAGAAAAACATATGCTGAAACAATTGCACTACCAAAACCTAAGCCCAAAAGAATACCAAGATTAATAATAAAGAAAAAGAGTAATGATAACATAAACTTAGAAAATCAAGTAGCACATTACTTAATTAAAGACAAAAACATACAAACAAAAAGTGTACAAGTTAAAAATACTGACACAATAATTATCAACTGCTTGACCGAAGAAAATGTCACAGTGTTAGAAAAAACTTTACAAAAAAAACTACCGGCACTTACTGTTCTACAAGAAGAAATACGTAAACCGATAGTTAAAGTAGTAGGAATTTCTAAAGCTTTCACAACAAATGTAAAAGATATAGAAACTGATAT